GGGGTGGGCGGAGGTGGTGGTGGGATAGGGGGCGGGCCCGCGCAGCGCGCCGTGCCAAAAACACTTGCGACTTACGTGTTTAATCAACTTTACCGCGGGAAGGAATTTTCGTCCTCGAATCTGCTTGTATTATAGTATTTATTGGTAGTGTAGAACGTGTGTGTCTGACTCGTATGTCACATTCACAATATTTTTGCACTGTGGACACTCAATGTCTTGGCGAATTACTTTTTCTCGCTCAAAGATTAGATTTCAATTTGTTATACCTCCTAAACCAATGCCGTCCCCCACTTGATTTTTGCGGGGAATTACTCAGAAAACTCTCCCCTACAACATATCTAAGTGCCGAGGACATCGGTGAGGTGTGACCTTTTATGCATATTTACCTTAATTTCTATTAAAGTTATAGACAAATGCAAAATTCCGTCCGATCTCGAGTGAATTACTTACAGGTACTAGAGCGTTCTTTTGCATTTCTGCATTTTCCGAAGGATCATCTTGATCACTTTCCGATTTTTTACTGTGGCGTTTTGTTAGAGGGTGCTTTCGAGAAAGATGTTGCATTAAATTTGTTGTATTTCCAGTTTCAATTTTTTCGTACAGATTGGCATCGAGCAGTCACTGCGTCTACTTTTGTGAAATTGTCCCAAACGTGACTTCTCAATTTGGAAGTGCATTTCTTAACCGTGTCTTTTCTGTGAACAGAATGTATTGTTATGTCGAAGTGTTATGCATTAAATATATATTTTTAGTTACGACACCGTGATGCAATATATATTTTTACTTACGACACCGTTGTATCGATAGCTGCGGACATGCTGGTCGACTCGGTAGACAATGGCGAAGATGATGGCGAAGCTCTCGAATACACATTTGGGCAGAAAGAGCTAAAGAAAGATAACGACTGTTTTATTTGATGCTCACTTGTTAGCTTTGTATCCATGATTCAAAAGCACTAGTTCCGAGAAATGTGTAGCCAATCAACTTGCAGCTTTTCATGGTCAGAAAGGTTGACCAACGTTTTACAATAAGGCTCGATTCACATGGAGCGTAACTTGCGTAGCGCAACCTGCGTAGCGCAACCTGCGTATCACCAATCACAGAACTATTTCAACAGAATTATTGAAACGGTTCTATCAGAATGATCCTGCGATTGGTGATACGCAGGTTACGTTACGCAAGTTACGCAAGTTACGCTCCATGTGACGGCACCCTAAGTTGTCGAAATATTCGTATGTATCATTGCAGAGATATTTGTATCCGAATCTTGTCGGATACAATCATTCGCAAAAGAAATGTATGCCTAAATTCTGTTCTTACAGAGGAATTGAAAGTCGATCGGATATTCGCATGGTTTTTATTCAATCTACTTGTAATTCCTCTGTAAGAGCAGAGTTCTCACGTACGTTATATTACAAAAATAATATATTACAAAAATTTCAGTAACACGTACTTAGATCACGATCCAGTCACCCACGAGGTTATCCGTCATGTATAGTTTAGTGTCTTTAATGTATAGATATCTGTGATGCTTCTTCTTCTTCTTCTCTGGTTATTGGCTCCCGGCTCACAGACACTGAGCCGACACGGCCACGTCGAACCAATAGACTTAATGGTATTGCTTGGAATGTAGTGAATTGAACGATGCAATGGCCCGGTAACCGGGCCACACGCGGGATGATGCAATCCCGCAGGATCAAAAATTTATCTTCCATCGGAAGACGTGTGAACCGCCGACGGCCCAGACGGAACTAACTTATCTGTGATGCCATCTGTGCGTTGCCAAGAGAAATTAGGTCACGAAACATCGATATTATTCCTTAATAATCGATTCTTGCTCGATGCATCGATAGCAAAAACATCGATTAAAAATAATCGATATGGCGATAAAAAGCATCGATTTTCTAAACATCGAATGAACATCGCCCACCACTAATTTGGACTATCCGAAGGGAGAAGAGGTACAACCGATAACATTTCATACAATCGCTGGAGCGGATTGATGAGAAGTTACGTACATCATAACGCTCTCTGTCGCGCTGCTACGGATTTCGATGCAAGATCATGCAAGATTCGTCGTGTAGCGCAACCTGAGGCTGATACCGACGTT